CACGTTCTCAAATAATAAATAAGAAATTCGGGAATCGCGCTAATGATAAAGGAGTGAGACTTTCCCATTATCTTTCATAGTATAGAATAATATTTTCATTTAAAATTAAATTAACTTAATCTTTTTTGATATGAGCTGAAGCCAATATTTTTTTTAAAGAAACAAAAAAGTAATAAAAATCGGTAATTCGGCTATTAAAATGTTTGAAAGTTTATAAGGTTGCAGCGTATTTTATGCTTACAGTTTGATAAAATAGATGAAGCTGTATTGAAACGTAATACATTTGATATAATGGAAACTTGACATTGATACTTCTACTTTAGTGGGAAAAGAACAAAAAATTGTTGTTTTTTATCTATCGATTTTTTTTCAAAGAACCTACTTGATTGAAACATATATTGTATATTGTATTCGTTTTATTTTGTTTACTTAAGTCTGTTTAGCGATAATTTGAACAGTAGAACTAAGAAAAAAGTGCGATCAAACAAGTAACATGAAATAGAAAGGAAACATTAATATATACTTCGAATGAATAAACGATGTAAAAATAATAGAAATAATTAAGCATTACAAATAAATATTTATTCAACCGTGTTATTTTATAAATAATGTAATTAATGCGAATAATGAAATGCTAATGAAGTGGAAAACAGTGTAATTATAAGCATGAAATTAAAAAAAAAAAAAAAAGTGTAAATGTGTTTTGTGAAAATGTAACGCTATGACCTTTGACGGAAATATTCATCCTGTGATTAGTAAAAAAATAAATGATATAAATTTACATTATTTTAATTTTTTATAATTAGAATAAAATTATTTGGAGAAAATCTCAATTTTTCTTTCTCTTCTAACTTTAAAGTGCACATATCATGAGTTTGACAATAAGCCGATGTGTTTAATTTGCAAAAATGGCATTATAGGCATAATGAAGGATAGTACCTAGTAGCACTTTTTCCTTGTCTTTATTTGCTTCCATAATTCAGGACAGGAGATCTCTCACCACGCTCCTTTTCAGTCCCCTCCCAATAGGGCATGCTAGTTGTGACCAAGTCTATTGTTGTGACAGTTTTTTTTTTATTTGAATAAAGCTGGTGTTAGGAAAGTGAGCTATGTAGTCTTAATTGTTTTTCTTCAAACTCCAATATTTCCACAAATGAAATTTTATTATTATTTTTTTAAAACAATAAAAAGTGTATTGAATAACGATAAAATCTGCCACTTTAGGACTACAAGTACATTCATACAATATATATGTACACAACGGAAATAAATAAAATAATAAAGATAAGGATAGTTGGAATAATCAGTCAAAATATAAATGGCAAAATAAATAATCCTATATATTATTTCTAAAAGGTGTTTTTTTTGTCGAACACCATAACTTCGTCAATTCTTCACCAAATCCAATGATTGGCCACTCATTTTGAAGATATTCTTTAAAAAAATAGTCCTAATCCATGCGAAAAATAGTCCTATCCACTCGAAATTTCTGGAAAATAAGTTATGAAGGAAAAGAAACTTTGTTCGCGAATAATTCAAAAAGTATGCATTTTAAAAGATGATTGTACCCATGATAATTAGAAATATTACTAAATTACCTACAAAACAAAGAAAAAGTCGTAAAAATTGGACAATTATTAACAAAGATACAGTCCATTAGTTTTGGTATACTTATTAATGTCTCCCTGTTTAAAGATATTGCATTTAGGAGTAGAATAGTCTACTACAATTTTTTTCCTGGCTGATATACTAACTTTATTACTTCTTAAAGGCATTTGTTTGCTCTTACATATCATGTTTTTTTAATTATTTAGAAAATCCCATGATCGGGACATTATTTTGTCTTTATTGGATTTATTATCTTGCCAGTCAGCGTTTAAAAATAGGTCCTAGCAAAGCAATTTGTCCAAATATTTTTGTCTATTATGTTTAATGGAACATTGTAATCGACCAAGGAAAAATATAATTAACTACTGAACTTCGGGTCGATGTTAAAATAAATATTATTATTTATTTTTGTCATTTTTATTTTGACTGGTCATCCCAACCACTAGCGGATCCAGGATTTAATTTTGGGGGGCCTCAGCCCGAAACATTTTTTTTTTCATAAAAATAACGATAATTACTTTGGAAAAACAGAAAGAAACTAAATACCTATATGAAATGGTGTTTAAGTTATTCCTTGAGTACTTTTAAATGTAATTACACGAACAATATTATTCCATTTTGGGAGGGGGCTTCAGCCCAAAAGCCCCCCCACTCTCCCATAGATCCGCCTGTGATCCCAACTATCCTTCTCTTCATTATTCACTATAGTCAACCATCAACCCACAATTAAAAATAAAATAATAAATTGAAAGTAAGTAAAAATAAAATAAAACTTCTTAAACACATATTTACTTGTGTAAAATATTTATATTTTCCGAGGGGACTAGAAAGATAAGCTTTCAAACGTGGAAGGCAAAACAGAACTCCTAGAGATCCCAGTGCTTCTCTCGCAGCCGCGTCACTGGTATTGGAACAAATGAAATTCGCAAACAAATTATAAAATGGAAAGTATCAATTATAATTTCCATATTTATTAATATGGCCATTATAAGCCTAAAAATCAATAATAATTACATAAATATCTTTATGTATTTCAATTACCCGATTTTGAATAATTTATAAAATATAGTGTGCATTCTAATTAAGACCTCAAAAGAGGATTTGACGGGACTAAATGGCAGCTCCGGTGTTGGTACAGGAAGGGCTGAGCAAATATTAATCCAAGGAGATATGATTACGTAATTACAGTCTGGTTAAGGAGCAGCTCCTGGAAGTTCGTGGTCCACGAACGGGTCGGAGATTTCTCAACGGTGGCAGATCCTTGAGAACAATTTCTATTAGAGGTGAGTTTTTCACGAAAGTTCACTAGGGAAATTTTTTCTGATTTACGTTATTTAAATAATAATAATATAAATACTAATTCCATTATTTTTAAGTCAAATAGAAACTAATAAATCTCTATAGTTTAAAATGGTGTTATAATAAGAAAATCTTTCAACAAAAGACATAATAGAATTTGTATCTACTTAAAATTATTGACTTGTGTTCAATAGAAACAACAGATGTAATAAAGAACCTTTCTATAAGTTTTAAAAACTTTGGGTTCGTAAGGATCGATCCAATATTTCAATGTTGAAGAAAATCATACATTTTTTTTTAGAAAATCAAAAACTAAACTTACCCCTACAAATATAATCATTTAAAAAAAAAATTAGATTGGCTATTCCACACTCAAGAGCTCACTACTACTATTATTGAATTTTGTTAAAGCCTACCATTATCAACTTAACTACGGCAATATTTCACTTGTGCCGCGCCGTGGGCGAAGGAATTACTACGCGGACCAAATTTAATGGTGTGTCAGAATTTAACAAGCAAACGTTATAAGTATAGTAATTAAGGAATCTGAGTCGGTCGTGCAATTAATGTTATTTTTTACACAATTATTTATTTTTTTTTTGTAGAGCTTCCAGTGTTTGTAAAACAAATTAAAAAATATATAGGTATACCTGACTAAAATATAAGTGCTATAAAAAATCTTAAGAATTTTTTGAGATCATTTTTATGAATTCTTTTACTTTTAGTTACGTTTAAACCACAGTTTATCAACACAGCTTTTATATAACTACTAATAGACTCAGTGAGAATTCTCATATTATAAAGCAATCCTTAAATAACAGAAGTTATTTTCATTTTTTATAATTTTATTATTATTTATGTTTTAAGAGATTTTGCCAATGTATTAGAGGATACTATACATTTTAAAATTATATATAATTAATTAATTGATACGTCAACATTTCTCAACAAAGGCAGAAAAGACAAGTTTTTCTAATATTTTTTTTTTTTTTACAATTCTTTATTTGTTGTAAATATTTTAGATAATTGAATGATTTTTTATTTATTTAATATTATTTGTCTAGCAACAATTTTTATTTTTCTGTACACAGCTGTTAATCTTAATGGACGTTGTTCTTGCAAATAAAATTGTTTATTTTTTCTATTTGATTTGATCAGTTGACATATTTGCTAACTCGATTCTCAACCATTGAGTTCATGTAAATGCAAGAAGAAAATATTTAAAATATCACTGGGACATACATTATATATATCTTGATATCTTGATGACAAAGGAACTGAAATTTGATTTTTTTTTTTAAATTTAGATCAAGTCCTACACGGGCCTTACTAACTTTACACCACTTACTGAAATTTGACTAAATTATGATAAATCAAAACATATGATATAAGTTAATCTTCGAAGAAACGAATTGACAGCGACTTAATTCCTCAAACGGACATGGTACTTTATTTTGGACTTACTTTCGGTAGAAGAACAACATTAGTCACGTCTGTTAAAATGAAACAATCAACAAACAACTTGAATTAATTTATACACTAATTTCCAAATCTTCAAAATATAAATTGAGACAGAAGCTGAATACATACTCAGACTAAAATCCATAAGGACATACTCGTCACCGATATACATCGAAAAGGTTATACAATCTATAATAACTTCGAATCAAAATTATTACAAAAGTTGGTTTATGATCAACAAAACTCAACATACTGACCCCCACCTTCCAACAGTTGATCAACAAACTATGAAACTTTACCAACGATTTTAAACAAATTTAAATAGAAATATTATCAGTTTAATAACTTATATAAAATAATTAAATAATAATACTTAAGTAAAATAATTTTTCCTCATGCCATTGTTTTCGGTATGGTCTGCTCATTTGCTGATTGTCAATATACAGGAATTGATAGTTGGAATATATGTAGGAAAAAAATCTAGTAAAATTTATCTGCAAACTTATCTATCTGCAAATCTATTATTTATCTGTAAATTTATCGAGACAAACAAAATTACAAGAGTATTCTACGATGGTTATAAATTGATATCGGTATGTATTGTAAGTGATCTGTCGTCGTCCCGTAATATTTTAGTCAGAACACTCGGCATTATTCACGATCCTGAATGGAAGTGAATATGTTGATACGATTTGGACAGGGTTGACAACCGTAACGTATTTTCCGGGATATCCCCTTTTCCTTTTTGACCCTTTGCCCCGTGTACAGTTGACCACTATCAAGGGACGCGATTCCTCCCCTAATCCGATCATTCTTTGAGGGTTAATCTAAAAAAAATATTTTTAAAATACTCGGAAAGTTCGAGAGATTTCTTTGATAGACCAAAAAATGAGGAAGATAGCCTCAACAAGGCTATTCAATAACAGTTGTAATTATTATAATTTTTTTTTTTATTATAAATTAAAATCTTATAATGACATCCAAAAAAAATTAAAAGACCGTGTAACCAATTATAATTTTTCTAAAGTTTTCAGTGTTTTAAAAAATTACTAATGGGAAATAACATGAACTTAAAAAGAAACATAAAGTAATTAGGATTAAAATGGGAATTTCCAAACTTTAAAGAAATTAGAGAAAAAAAAATTACGCATTTCACAAATCTCATAATTATATATTTATTTAATTTCATATTTTTAACACATTCTTCTATATTATTATAGTTTTTATTTATTTTTTAAATGTGTAATTTTTTCTCTCATCACTGCTAATCAGCTGTTTAATATAACCTTCCTCTTCTGCGTTTATGAAATTTCACGTTTCATTCAGTATGTATATTTGGATGGCTTGTTGAAAGCTGTGTTGCCGTTGGAATAAGGATACTCGTACATAATTTTTGCTGAAGTAGCAAAGTTACATTTTTATGTATGAAGTTTAGATTTGTTTTAAAATCATTTTTACTGTGTTGTTATATATATATATATATATATATATATATATATATATATATATATATATATATATATATATATACATATATATATATATATATATATATATTAATATGTAATACTTAACTTCTTTAAATACAGTATGATTATTCTTTCCTTCGTGATTTTATAGATTTTTTTCTTTGATTTTCAAGAAACAAAATTTTAAAAAAATTGTTACCGTATTTTAAAAAAAATTAATATAATATAATATAAAATATTAGAAAGTATATCCATTACTTCTTTTATAAAACTACGATTTTTTTATAATTCATTTAAATATTAATTTCAATTGTATGTTATCCAATTATGTAAATCGAACTTCCATGAAGTCATAATAATATGTTTTCCATTTATTTTTAAGAATGATGGCATTATTATATACTATAAAAAGTTTATTTGTCTATTTTAATTTTATAAAACCTTTTCCAATAATTTCTAAAAATATATGCATTTCTTAAAATATATTTAATTAATTAATTATATTATGCCTTAGGCCAATATAATTTTACATCTTGACAGATTAACTTTAAAAAAATGTAAAAAGGCTTTAAAAGTGATGAATAGGGGTAATAAGAAAAAATCTAATCTAATATAACTTTAAAAAAACAAAACAATAACATTGAGTACAAAAAATAGAACAAATTGTCAATGATCAAGCGTAAGAGAATGAACGAGGTTGAGGTACAAGGGTTTGTCACAGAGCGCGCGCAATGCTGGGTGAGATGTCAATAGAAAATTTTTTTTCTCTCTCTTTTTTTTTCTGTAAATATGTGATCTTCTCTTTTATATCTTGATGATACCTGAATTGGCAAAACGTTGGCAGGTTAATTATTCAGCTGTATGTTTGAGGCTCATGGCTTTGTAGTTTGTATTTTTCCATTTATACCCTAATTATTATTAATAATTATACAAAATGATTTTAAATGCATTTACATTTTCCGCACATTTTATTTTTCCTTTTTTACAAATCTATTTAACCATCCCAGCCAGGTCACTCTATGTATTCCATATTTCTTGATATAAAAATTGGCAACGATAAATTCTAAAAATCAATAATCTATATTCTGAACCGGGTAAATGAAGTGAGACATAATTGAATATTTTTGTTTGTGATCAAAACACAATATATTATGGTATATTGCAAACAGTACAAACAAATAAACAAACAGAAATGGGATCAAAAAATATACCTGCGGAGTCGAAAGTAATTGTATAATCAATGAAATGGCTCAACAAACGAACATTACCTTATCTCAATGGCATTGGCGCTTTTAACATTGATCTATCATATGTTTGCTATTGGGCTCATCGGCCTTTCTGTATTGAAATATCACTCCGAGAGTGATGGCAAGAAGTGAGGAAGGAGCGAGATTGATAGAGTGATATTTTTATGATTAATCAATGAAAATAATGGTTCTGAAATTTGGTTAAAGTGCTAACTGATAAAATTAATTTTTTCCTAAAGCTGAGCTAATGTGGAAATAACTAACAAATCGATCAATAAACGAAAATGACTAAATGTTAATAGGTTGAATGATTAAAATATAGTCAATTTAAATGAGAAAAGTTTCGATACAAAAACAAAATTCATTAAAATCATACTAGTATCAGGAAATAAATAGCATATTGAACCTTGTATACACATGATTTTGGTTTATCAATTTTAGTAATAGGCCTTTGTAATTGAACAAAAAAAAAAAACTGAATATCACTCCAAATGTTTAGTCTAGCTGGCTTTAGATTAGTTCAAGATACGTACAATCTAAAAATTAATTTAAAACATCTTTTGTGTACAGCCAATTTCCTCTGTGACTGGGGATGTTGCGATAATATCCATATCGATAGAAAATGTTAATATCGGAGTTCGATATATGTATATACATTTTTCGATCACATTATAACCACACATCAATTTAATATTTAAAAATCATAAAATACTCCTATTAACATACTGATATTTTCTAAACTCGAAAAGCCTGAGAGGAAAAAACACTCCTTAATTGATAATTTTTACCTACAACCTTCAGTCCTGAATTAAAAATTAAAAAGAAGATATAACCCAGATACATAATATATTCCTGACAATGACGTATCGAAACCAAACACTGACATTGAATATAGTGTGTTTTGTTTGATCGAGGTCACGTAACACAGAATAAGTCACAGAGTCACGATTTATAACAGCGCCTTAAGGAAAGTACTTATTAAGGAGAGGATGTGGCTACCGATTATCCTTGGTGCATAAGAAGTGATCGACGTGAGCGAGTAATTCTGATTCAATGAGTCATCGGATGAAAGACCGCCGATGTTACAAGATCTTCTTGAGCTAAATAATGAATGTCTTACTAATGATCGAACTCTTAAAATTAGTAATAATATTATAAATGGAAAAGTCTAAACTATAAAGCCCCGACTCTCTTAACATACAAGTAACAGTAAATCTGCCTTGAGATATTGGCAGGTCAACTGTTTTCTTGTATATTAGAGATTCATAGCTTTATGGTTTGGATTTGTTCTTTCCTGCCTATACTAGGTAAGGAAACTATTGCGATCGGGTCAAATTTCCGATGTGTGGTTTTCGACGGATCTATACGTTTCAAAGCTGTAAGTCCGAAAAAATCATTTTCCCTTCACTTGGTTTTTTTTTAAAGGATAGAAATTCTCTACAAAACTATTTAAAAATTTCTGACAACTATTAATGAAATTACAGTTATTCAATTTCGTATGTAAGATAATTAGTTCAAAAAGTGTGTCAGAAAAGGGTGAAAGAGAGAAGAAAAGAGAAAATTCAGTGAAAGTAAAAAAATCTGATGTGTATTGAATGTTTTACGCTAATCTCCCACAAGCCGGTTTACATTGCTTTAGTTTATTACAGAAATTTTACTCAAATCTTTACTTTAATCAAGTTTTAGGAAAATTAATCTAATTCATTTTTTTTTTTCAATGGACATGTTCAACGACATAAAAACTTTTTTTGAAATAAGTAGGAAAGTCGTGTGAGTGGGCACACCAGATTTTCCCATATACAAGCTTTTCGATCTATATGGTTATTTTAATAAATCGTAAACAAGAAATAAAACTATCTCTACTTTCACTATTTTATATAATAATAAGAGAATACATTACGAAAAATTTCAATTCCGAGTTTTCAACAGAAATGCAGGTTTCAGGGTCCAATGAGTCCAAATAACCAAACTTAGGGATGTAAATATTGTAAAAAAATATCAATATGTATAATTTCGATATTTTTTTTTTAAGATATCGAAATAATAATGCGATATATCGAGAAAATATCATTATACCGATATAACTATGAAAAACATATCGATATCAATTTAAATAATCTTAAAGGGAATGAGAAGAAGGTTAACATTAATAGATTTTAATAAACTCATAAAGTATCAGTTTATTAACATTTTTTAATAAACAAATATTATTAGGAACTGGAGAAAAAGTATAGTATTGTCACTATAGTCCGTGGTTCAGACCCTTTTTTATCAAATTATTAACATCAGCCTGAAACTTGGTAAATAGTTTTGACTCATCGTGACCTACAACTATTTTATTTACCAAAACTCTTGAAATTGGGGCGTTTTCAATCTGGAGGAGGGTAAACTTTGTTTATTTAATTAGGTACTAACAATTCGTAAATACTCATTTGCTTTCTACTTGAATCGTAAGATAATTTGATCACAAATTCGAGAAAAAAGATGTCTTTCAAAAACATTGGGCCGTTTGTCTATAACCTCATTATTTTGACATTTTAGGGGTGTAGGTCACGCAAAACGGCTCAATATTTTTGAAGGCTCAATACTTTTTTCTCAATTTTATAATCAAATTATCTTACGTTCTAAGTAGAAAGAATATGAGTATTTAAGAGTTTTTAGTATCTAATTAAATAGACAAAGTTTGCCTCACCTCCAGATTGAAAACGCCCCGATTCCAAGAGTTTTCTTAACTAAAATAGTTGTAGGTCACGGTGAGATGAAACCATTTACGAAGCTTGAGGCGGATGTTAATAATTAAAAAAAAAATAAATCTGTACCACAGACCACTAGTTTTCATACTTCGTCCCGTATAACTTAAAATGACATTTACGGAGTCATTTTTCTAAAATACTTACAACTATAAACAAGAAAAAAGAGGACGTAGGTTGACTTGAACATTGCGACCAGGAACAGATAATCACATTTTTAGCCATTGTGTCAAGGTGTCCCAAATATGTGCGATTTGTAGAAAATATACCTTTCATATGAATTCCTGTTTATTTATATATTTATTTGTCAGGGTTGGTATATCACATAACTATGTTTACGCCTGTTCCTCGTCTCTTAGACTTAGTGTATCGGGGTTTTATTGGCTGTCCCATATTTAATTAAAAATTAATTTCAAATGAAAGTATGATAGCAAAAGAAAGTCATGTGATGGACTTAAATCCGTGTAGAAATGGTTTGATCTACTTAAAAAGGTATGAGTACAGTTGGTTCTGAAAAGTGTTTCGCCCAAAGAAACCAATTGCTTTTATCTGATTCAATAGATATGAATAAAACTTGTTATTGGTCTGGACGCTAGCCAATTTAAGATCTACCAGCTGAGGAATGTTCGAAGGCCGGTCGGAACTATGAGCGAACGATCGTGAATTGTCTAGGAGGTGACGCAACGTCGGGACAGTTGTAGCGAGTTTGGAAGCCTGAATTATTCGGTCCGAGTTCGCGGTGGCGTTTAAAAACTTCGAAGAGTTGCTATAAATAAAAGAAGGGGAGGGAATAGATCTGGTTTATGATAATCAGGAGTCATTAGAGCGCCAAATCAATTATGCAGTAGATTCGTCATGAATAAAGATGGCGATGTAATTATAAAAATATTCCGGTTGTTGTATATCCCCGAGGGGTCCATTATATTAATACAAATAACGATTTTTATTAAGTAAAAAATATCTTCAATTATAAATTTCGTAAAAGGTATCATAATCAAAGGTAATGATTACAGAAGACCCGAACTGGAATCAACAAGTGGGCGAAATGACGAGGGGCACCGACATGGGGCCTCCATGCATCATTCATGAGGATAAACTGAAACATCGATAAAAAGGCAAGAGGACAATATAAATGTTTCTTAATCCCTTTCCAAATGGAGATATCGGCTTTGTACAACTATACCCAGATAGCGCGCATTCCACCAGGTTGACAGATGATTAGAATTAGGTTGTCCTCCAACCTGTCCATTAAGTATCAGTAGATACAAATTACCGGTTCTGGGACAAGATCATAAAGACGAGTGAGCAGCTTATATTGAATTTGTACTATAGACTATCTATCATTGAATAGTTTTAGCCACGTTTCCTTGCCGACACAAACTTAACAATTCTAATTAATCTTAATCGTAACACTTAATCCTATTTTTCTAATTTAAGTATCGACAGTTGAAACATGCTCCATCATGTGACATCCTGTAAACCTAAATATATATATATATATATATATATATATATATATATATATATATATATATATATATATATATACTACTATTACGACGAAATATATACTATAATGCTGGTATATACATATCATCAGTTTGTTGCAACACGTCATTAATTGACATTTCATAACCCTAATTAATTAAGAACTTTGCAGAATTTTTCTATTGTGAAATCAAAAAATATTTCATGTATAAAAAGTTTCGTGTTATTTTCATACATTCACAGTATTTTTGTGTCGATACATAAAGTAGAAACTCACAAAAATATATATTAGAGGATTTATAATTGATATAATATTTGATATAGAAATTAGAACCTATATTTCCCGGTCTTCTGATTTATACATACGGTCCACCGAACCGCTGCTTTCGACAAATCGTTCATTATCCGATCCTCATCACTATGGAACTCCACCCCTTCCCATATCCGTCAATCCAATACACTTCCTACCTTTAAATTCCGCCTGTTCAATAATTTCTTATCCATCCAGTCTCCATAAAATCGTAAATAGATACTACTGTAAATATGTACATAAATTATTAGTTCGTTCTTCATTATTTTTACTCCAATTTTTTTTATCTATTTTTTTATTATCAACTGATCAAAATTGGAAAGAAACTTATATGTATATGTATATATGTATATATATTTTTTTTTTCACCAAGACTGTTCAATTACTCTGTATTTTTATTTATGTATCTCTGAGGCTTCTTAGCCCACATTTCTGTCTTCCTGTATTATTCTAAAGGGACTCGTCCCAGTATAATAAATAAATAAAGTATTATTACAAATAATAGATAAAGTTTGATTATTATTATATTAAAAATTCACTTGCTATTAGTGTATTTTTCAATAAACCGAAAACATGCAGTAGCAACCAAAAATATAGACATATTTTAACGAGGAAATATAAATATACTATAAGTTTCGTCATTACAATAAATGCAGGTAAATTTGACAAGATGCTATGTAATTAGACAGGTGCCAACCATGTCATCGTAGAACATTACAATATATGTATATATGCCAGCGTCACTATACATATGGACGTATGTATGTGGTTGATATAATATATATGTAAGCTTGACAGGATGCGACGTAATGGAGTAGTTTCAACTCTTCGATATTGAAATTTAAAAAATGCAAAGTAGGATTAATACGTTATTAATTAATTATTAAGATAAAGATTAATTAGAATGTTTACGGTTATGTAAGCTTGTTCACGTGGTTCAAGGATAATCAAATAGTCGAAGATTCATAAGTCCAAATATATTGCTCAAAACTCTTCATTATCTGGCAATACGTATCTAGTCGTGCATTCCATCTGAGTGACGTATGAGTGGAATTAAGTTGTCTTCCGCTTTTTCCATTATTATCTCAAACTCTTTTAATTCTATACGATAAAGTTTCTCGAAAGAAGGAACTAATGGTAGAAAACAAATCCCGAACTATAAAAATGAATCCTCTATTTGCTTTACATAAGCTTGAATAATCATGGGATACACAGAAACAAGCTATTAATATTTTCAATCTTACTCAGGAACTATTTGTGGTTGGAGTAACGTCATGCTAAACAAATTAACATGAGGATTCAAAGCCAAAGTACAAAAGGAAGATATACATCTCACGTCCGGTCTCCTTCCAAACGAAATGAGACAGTCTTATCTCAGTTATCTATTAGTCTATTATCAATGCCTCCAAACGTTTTGGCCCGCGGGCCACATTGAGATCTATAAGTGCCGCGGGCCACACCTAGTAGTGAAAATAAAAATTAATTTTCTATTCATTTTTAAAAATCTTGTAATGGTTTGATTTACTAAGTTCCACACATTTTTTTAAATATTCCTATATACACAAAGAAACGCGAGACGGAGTATAAATACTCGAGGGACATAATTTGGTGACCTCTGGTCTAAATAAAAAAAAAAACTATAAATTGAGAGAATAAAAAAAATAGGTTTCTCTTCATAGGGATATCAGACTTAATGTATCCGCCTTCAATGGAGTTTCTTAAAACAATTATTGTTCAAATTATAATTCTAGCATCTTACCTATACATAGTTAACTATTATTAGACATAAAAACATCTTATAAATGTCAGATAAAGAATAAAATACATAAATAAAATGACATATAAATATAACAATGAATGAATGACTGTACCTCCATTTTTATGTATAAAATAAATTTGAAGATGGATTGTAATAAATCTCTTTTTTTTCTTATTTTTTTTTTTGGAAAATAAATTTTCCATTTAATTTTTATTGTATGCTTTGCTGCAAAATTGTACTTACAGATTTTTTTCATTGTAAATGTTGATGTATGATTAAAACGCTATAATTAAAGAACCTAAAGTTTACTATTACACGATTAAAGATTGTTTTTCTGCTTCTCAAAAGATTGTTCTTAGAGGTTAACAAAAACAAATTATATCTCGTGAATAAAGAATATTAAGAAAAAAAAAAGGTAAAAACTCGAAATTCATAGCGATGCTTGATTCTTTCAAAGCATTACCATTACGAAAAGTTTCCGAATTGGGAGTAGAAGAAAATAAACATTCCGCACTATATAGCCATATGTCTACATAGTCACATATAATAATAATTATAATTGTATGGAGATAGTTGACCGATTGATTATAATATGAGAAAGACTTGGTCGGGACTGAGGTCAAATTAAATATTATATAATATAATGAAGACCTATAAAGTGGGTCGAAACTTCAGCATAACCAATAAAATACTATTATAGTATTTAATTTTACCGCACCCTCGACCATCTCCTTCTCATATATGTATGTATGTATATATATATATATATATATATATATATATATATATATATATATATATATATATATATATATATAGAGAGATAGAGAGAGAGAGAGAGAGAGAGAGAGTGAGAGGAAATTTAAAATAAAAATGTTATCATACATTAATATTAATACTTCATTTAAATAAATATTCATAGAAAAAATTAAAGAACTTTTCTTGAGGAAAAGAAATATCAAGTTGACGAGGAAGAAAACGTTATCTCTGTGGCTAAGAGGAAGCAGTAACTCATCTCCTCTGTGGCTATAACAGCCTGCAAGATCTAGTTGGAGCAGATAACCACCTCCGCGTAATGTAAACCCTATCATCTCTACCGAACGCGCTTTCAAAAGCAGCCATCTTAAAATCCTTCAACTACTCCAAGACAGATCATATATTTGGTTAGTACCTTTCAATAACAATAATAAAAGACTTGGCTAACCCGAAGGAGCGACACCGCTAATAGCTGTAACATACTCCATCTTACAACCGCTGTCCCAATCCCACATCACAAGAATTAACCATATCCCCCCACATTCGCTTCAGTCTAATCCTAGAGTGCGTAACAACAGTTGGCACAGCACATATTAATATTTCAAAATTGCTTTCATTATAAGAACAACAATTTTATACGCTTATTTTATTGTCCTTAGCTAACCTCTCATTTATAATTAACGAGTACAGTTCACACAATCCAGTGTTTTGTAGCAGTCTCTCCAGTTGACTTCGCAGTGCTAGGATTTTGCACAGTAATTTATTTTCAAATACCTTAAGCCGTAACTCATGCCCTAATGTAATATGTAAGGAACCATGAGAACTATAATGATTTTGTAAATTCTAATATTTCAATGCAACTGCAAGGTAAGTAATTTTGCATCGAAAAAAACAATATTTCAATTTTAATCAAACCTTAATTTTCTCCTCTATTTTTTTTTTTATATATATATATATATCGTCGACCCTAAATACCTGAATTTCTCAAAGTGTTCAACCTTATTCTCTTCTATCTCTAGAGCATCCAAATCGTCATGATGGCCGACAGAGTACACTTTATCATTATCGTGTAAATGTTATGTATGGGTATCTCGAGCAACAACGCTGCTTGAAGATTCGAATCCGCTCTGGGCGAGTGACAGAATCGAAATCTCGACCTTCCCACTCTGATTAATATAGGTTTAAAACACCTTTAGAACATCATTTGCCTTTAGAACACCCTCCTATACAGAAAAAGGGAGGTAGAGGATAATTTAAAAAAATCACGCAATTTCGCGTTGTATATCTAAATTTCCCGAGGGATCAATAAAAATAAAAATTTGGATCGAATATTCTACGAATTTCTTTATTCTCAAAAACCTTTCTATGTTGTTCATATCTAAATTTAAGCGGCACGTTTTCCGACATGAATGGAAAGGATAATGGTTTTGTAAATTTTAATTATTACTGTAGG